TTACACACATAAGCTTAGGGCCAGCCTGAGTGCTTTGTAGGCCTTGGTTCACACAGCAGCAGGACAAATGGAGCCTGTTCGACGTGCCTTCTGTTTTTCCTGTACTGTATAATTCTGGTGTGGGGCTCCTGCTGCCCCCTTAGTCAGTAATCCTGGAATGAAATTCAGAGATAAGTACTTACTCATCCTTTCAAGAATTCTGATGTTCATATCCCAGGGTTTCTTCAAAGTAAGGTAAAGTGCTTATGGCAGGGCCGAGAAAGAAAGCAGAAATACTCGTTATTGGATGAGTTAAAGGAGTTGAAGTCTGCCTCTTCATAGGTTGATGATGAAGTAAAATAGAGTTTTTGTTAAGTTGTGCTCCAAAAGAACTGAGACTACATGGCTGGGAAGGAAATAGGAACACAGCTTCAAAGGAGCTTGGAGTCATACTGGATTTCTTTGTAGATATTGATCAAAATCATTTATTTAAATGAAGTTGTTTTGTTTCTGAGTATAAATGAATTTCGTGTCCCTAGACCAGTCGCTTAAACACGAAGGTTTTTTTTTTATATGGATAAATAACAGATGAAAAATTTTCTCATACATTTTGTTCTGTTTTGAGAGTGACATACACACCTGTCATAATGCCTGTATGGCAGTCAGGACAGCTTCCAGGGTTTGTTCTCTTCTTCCACTTTGTGGGATCTGGAGAGTGACTCTGCATTAGGTTTGGTCAATCATCTTTACAAATGAGCCATCTTGTCAGCCCTGCAGATGTTTGAAAACATGGTGTAGCTTTCATGTCTTTTTCTCCAAATGTAAGCTTGGAAGGGTTGTTTTGTGAATTCTCTAAGTTAGTCGTAAAATCAAGAACAAATTTTATCTCGATATAATATTGCAAATTTTGTTATCTCTTTCAGGGAAAATATAAAGCAGATAGTAAAACTTCTTGCAAGTGTCCGGGCTTTGGATCATGCAGTATCTGTTGCAAGTGATCACAATGTGAAAGAAGTCAAGTCTCTGATTGAAGGGAAATAGGGCTGAGACCAAAAGTGTTTGCTTTGCTGCCATTCCCAGTGTGTACATTTTGTATATATGTAAAGTTTCTTAAACTGTAATATACTGATTCTTGTTTTAATACAAAAACATTATATTAATACCATGTCCTTAAATGTGATTTCTTTAGAATGAAAGGAATTCAGATTATTTCTAGGAGTCTATGGATGTTTTCCTTACTGCCTGTCATATTTTGTTTATGAAAGTATTTTATATGGTCATTAAATTAATTTCATTTAAGTGTCCTCTACAAATGATGTGTGTTTAGTGTAAATTGTGTAATTTTGCATATATATGTGTGTGTGTGTGCGCACGCGTGTGTATATTTATACCACCATGGATTTTCATGCTAGAAATTTGCGATGTTTTTCTACAGAGGAAGCTTTTTAACACCAGGAAATTACCCAATAGCAATTGTCTTAGGGAAATACTGCACTGCTGTAGCAGAAGGACTGGCAGGTGATGGACTTCACTCCCACTTTGGTTAGTGTTACTGTCACTGTAGCTGTGCTGCCTTAAAACAAAAACTGAAAGAAGACTTTGTTGTTGAGTGAGTGTGGAACTTCTGTGTGTCAGCCTTGGAAGCAACTGTGGGTTTAATATGAGCTCTAGGCAATATATGCAATAGTTTGGGGTAGGATGTCAGTTTAGTTTTTGACAAGAAACCCACAAACTAACTGCATGGTATAGGCTGACTGTCCTTTTTCATTATTTTCTTCCCTGCCCAGCCTATAGATACATGAGTTTCTGTTGTCTATCCTGTTTTGAATCCCACATATGTGAGATATATATGCAATAAAGAACATGCCTTGCTGATTAGACATGCCCAGGCAATTTACTGTCCGGTATTCTGTAATGTTTATACCACACTGTGAATACTCAGAGAAACTTGTTTAAGGTTAATGCTTTCTGATTCTGTGATTTTCAGAAGAGGAACTTTTTGGAAATTCAGGACTATCGTTTGATAAATATATATGTAATTAAGCTTTAGTTAAGCATTAAATCAATTTTTAAATATGTCCTTTGTTGTATTTTGCTGGTGGCTAAGTTCAGAGCATACATACAGTGGTTCATATGGTGAGGCTGTTAACAGGCCGGTGTGTACTTGGATAGGACAGTGTCATGCTCTCCTTTCCCCATCAATTTTGTATGTATTGCATGAGCATATCTTATCTTTACATGTTCATTCTGGATGAGAGGGGTTTTTTTTGTTATTAATCTTTGATGGCTCCTAAATGGAATTAAACTTCAGAGAACTCATTCTCATGAATTAAAACAAACACAAATATGTATTTGGTCCTTAAACTGTGTTTCCAAGTCCATCAGTTTAAAATCACTCTTCCTATATCTGGCTTTAGTAATTCTTCAGATAAGCTCTGACTGCCTGTGCTAGCTTTTAGGAACAGGCTTTAACACTATCCTAGGAGTCTGATGCAAGGTGAATGGAGGCTAGAAATGCATATAAAAAGTGCTCTTTATGTCTCAACCAGGTTGTCACTGCTAAATGAGTAAAGAGCACTACAAATGGAATTCACAATTGCAGCAACACTGTTACATACTAGTTAAGTGTCTTAGAACAGGTACTCTCTTGAGTGCTTAAGGCCAGAAATTGGAAATAACTGTCACCAGAATCATGTGTCTTATAAGGGTTCTCAGTTCAATTTACAGATTCTAGTGGCTTCTGGTGCACCTGGGTTTGTCATAATTCTCTAGCCTGCCATTTGTCTTCATGCCACTACAAGAGTTACCTGATTGCCCTCTGCCTCCTTTGTAAGGGTACCTGTGATTTTGTCTAGGTCTCTTGCATAACCATAACAGTCCACCAGATATCCAAAACTTTGTTAGACTCCTTCACCCAGTCATCTTGCCATTTGCTAGCTACAAGTATCAGGGTATGAGCATTCCGACAGCCTCACCATTGCTCAGTTTCAGTCAGCACGGCATTGGCTTCTCAGCAAAGCTTTAGGCTATGTCTATACCACTCAAGTATTTTGAGTTAGTCTACTATAGACACTGGCTCGCTAAAATGTGCAGCTGTTTTGATATGCTGTAACAATAACAAATAGGAAAGGGACAATAAGGAATGTTCAAAGGTCACATTGTCTTGGGTTATTTTATAATTAAAAATGTATTTTGAATGGACTTGGGAAAGCTAAGACCTAACACTGATGCTTTAGTTTAATTTGAAGAAAGACGTTGTAACACAGAAGCTTGGACCTCCACTTTCTTAGTTCAAAAAACCAAGACTAGGCAGAAGGCTTGCTTTATTTAGAAAGCGCCTAGTGCCATGATTCCCACCTTGAGAGTTTATGGTGTAGTCTCACGGGGATTCTTGGTGTGAAATGAGTGAGGGGATAAGCAAGTTTGATTACAACCCACTTGAGGTGATCTCAGTTGTCATAAAAAGGTACACCCTCAAGGCTGGGGTGCCCTCAGCTTGTAGAATGCCTGCCTGGTACGCATGAAGCTTTGGGTTCAGTCTCTGTCACCACATAAACCAAGTATGGTTGGCACACCAGCGAGGCTCTGATACTTTGTCCCTAAAAACAAAAATTACCTCCAAGGTACTACAATTTGGTGGTCAACTCTCCTGAACCCTTTTTTGTTGGTTCATGTCCTATACAATCATCACACAAGAAAAATCCCTGTCAAACATTTCCAATTTTTTTTTTTTTACAAAGAACTGTCCCCATCTGAAATGGACACTTCTTGGGAGGAAAATGACTAACCACAATTCACAGCAAGCAATTTTTATTGTAAGCTTGTGGTTACTATAACCACAACAAAAGCAAAAGTTTTTCTAAGGAGACTAAGTGAAAAGATCTCAGAACTGAATCCAAGTGTGTTTCTCCTTGGTTGGAGGTGGCTTTTCTCATGTTTAGTTTGCTTTTAATATTTTATTTTATTTATTTATTTTTTTGGTTTTTCGAGACAGGGTTTCTCTGTGTAGCCCTGGCTGGCCTCGAACTCAGAAATCCGCCTGCCTCTGCCTCCCAAGTGCTGGGATTAAAGCTTAATATTTTAAAACCAGGGTGGATTTATCGTCTCTAAAATAGAGAAACATTGAGTCACATGACAGCATGTTAGAGGAAATGGTTTTGTGCAATACGTCATATTTAAATTGTGCTTTTGGGAAGAAAGTAAAAAGGGGAAGAGGCTGAGGGAAAGCAAAGGCAAATGAAAACATGACTGCTGTGTTCTTCGGATTTTCAATTCCTTTCTAAAGCTCTATTGACTACAATTTCCTCCCATTTTTGTCTCTTAAGTATAAGCAGAATAATTCTGGACACAGATTATAGGCAGAACGTCTCATTTAAAAAGATAGTATGAAACGGTGTGATGCCCTTAGTTATAAAATTCTACGGTTGGCAAGTCGGTACAGCAGTGACAGCCATGTTTTTCTTTAACTGTCTGGAGTTCCTGGTTGCTGATTTCCATCACTCTCCACTGTTCAGTTGAGCACTCATCCATAGCCCCTTGAGCTCAGAGAACACACTGAACAGTCAGGAAACAGTCTCCTGCTGCCTCCCTGACGACAGACACCATGGACAGCTCTTCGGGCGCCACCCAGCCCGCGCGGGGTGCAGACCGTCCCCCGCCTTTCACTCGTCCAGCGGGTCCGCGGAGGCGGCAGGGGGTGGTCCTGATGCCCGACTCAAGCACGAATCAACACGGGCTCCCCACAGCTCTTTCCTGCAGCAGTCCCTCCCTGTCACCCGCGGGGAGGGCTGAGCTAGAGGGCTCCACGCGAGGAGGCCGGGCCCGCCTCCCTCTGCCGGCTCCCCTGGCCGTGCCTCCCGTCCACTGCCGGGGTGACTGAGGATTCACGGACCCCGGCCGTAGCGGCCGCAGGAACTGGGTGGCCAGCAAGCGCCCTGCTCCGCAGCACGGTCCCGCGTGGGCGGAAACGGCTCCGCCCCTTCACCCCCAAGGGGCGGGCCTTCCGCCCCGGCAGCGGCGCAATGCGGAAGAGCTGGACCTGCTGGAGCGGAAGTGACGCTTCGGGCGGCTGTAGCGGCGGCGGCTGCGGGAGAAGGAGGAGGAGGAGCCGGAGGAAGAGGTGAGGCAGCGGCCGGGGGGGCGGGGAGCGGCCGGGGCTAGACCCAGCGGCAGCCGGCCGGGCGGGTGGACGCTTCCTGAGCGGTGGCAGCCGTCGCAGCCCGGTCGCAAGCGGTGAGAGGCGGCAGACGGCCGAGGGCAGAGGGTTGAGAGGAGACCCCGGGGCGGCGGGTGGCTGCCCTGACAGTGGCTGTCACCCAGCGGGCGGGAAAGAACCCAGTCAGCACAGGCTCCGGGGCATCTCTTGAGGTGCGTAATGGAGGCGCTGGACTGCCGGGTGCCTCCGTTCCCTCGGCTACCCGGGAACTCCTTGAGTGGCGGTAGATCCTTTCGTCACCGTGAGCTTCCTGACTGAGAACGAGGCGGCGGTCACCTGTGTGGCTTTCTCTGCCCTTCGCCGCTGCCCTGGAGAGTCCGCGGTGTGATAATCCCTTCCCTCTCCGACCCCCTCAGGAGCTATGAATTAGCCTGATTAACCTTCCCTCCCCATCCCCTGGCCTTTTCCGCCTAAGGATCAGCTTTAAGTTTCCCTATCAGTTCCCTTCCATTAGTGACAAATCATGAAGCAGGAAGCTGATAAACAACCCCAACTGAAAATACGCTTCAGATTTTTCTTTTGGGGAAACATAAATTAAATGGGAAATTCACCTTATCCAAACCAGGACCAACGGTGCAAGAACCCTGGCTTGCCTTACTTGTCATATCTTGAGAATTGGAAGCATTTCCTTTTTTGCCTTTTGGTAGAAATTCGGTGACGCCTTATCTTTTGAAATAAATCATTCACCCCTGAGCTCTCTTTTTCTTTACCCCAACCCCCATCAAACTTGTCAGTGAGGGACCTCAGGACACCTAGCAGTCCTTGCAGCAGAAAGAAAACCTCAGGTGCATTGGCTTGGTTTTCATAGGGCTGCCTCTGAAGAAAGGAGAATGGCGTTCAGCAAAGGATTTCGAATCTACCACAAATTGGATCCCCCACCGTTCAGCCTCATAGTGGAAACTAGGCATAAGGAAGAATGTCTCATGTTCGAGTCTGGGGCTGTGGCTGTGCTCTGTAAGTCACGTGTTTTAACCTGGCTGGGTGTGATCTCTGTTTCGGTTGTAACTCGAAACAACCAAAGTTCAACAGTTTATTAAGGAAAAAAAAAAGATTCTTGAAAACCTTACTGAATTTTATCTAATAAATTTATGCTTTGACTTAATTTGAATGAAACCTTATTTTCTGTAAACTCAGACTTAGGTTTTTATTGGGGTGATGGTGGTGCAGGGCGGTGCAGATTTTGCTGCTAGGAGTTTGTTTTCCTTCTGTTCTGCTTCTAGGAGTTTATCTTTTTGTAAAATGATGTTGCAATTTTGTCTTATCACATTAACTCAATAAGACAGCTTGCATCTCCTGTAATGCACAGAATTTTGCAGGTCAGATTTACTAGTAATGGTATGATCTATTATAGGTTTCTGTGCCTCTTATGTCAAACCTTTATTTATTTATTTATTTATTTATTTATTTATTTATTTATTTATGTGTTCTGTATGCTCATGTGTGAGATTGGTGGGTCAGATTCAGGGCCTCTGTCATAGTAGGCAGGGGCTGTAATATCTGCTTCTCCAGCCTAAGCTTCTATATCTTTAATAAGAATTGCAAACAGCTCCTAAAAATTGCATGTAGTATATGTGATTGATTTCATATTATTGAAAAATGACCTTTATTTTAAAGAAAAGGACTACTTATTGTGCCACAAGAATAATGTTGGGTAAATTTGTAGGAGATAGATGAAAATAAAAAGCCTGATTAACATTTAGTCATGTATTTGTGTGTAGACGGGGGAAAAATGGAGGTCGGAGACAGACAGCTTGTGGGAGCTCCTCCTGCTATATAGGTACCAGGGATTGAGCTCAGGTCTTCAGGCTTGGTGGCAAAAGCTTTTTCCCTGCTGAGACACTGAATGTAGCCCATGCTTCATTCTTAATATAAGACTGGGGCAGACAACCCCAGTTTGGGATTGTCTCAGACATTTTTTTAAACAGATTTTCTAATGATAAATACTTGTTCTTTATTATTATTATTGTCATCATCATCATTACTATTTTTATCATAATTATTCTAATAGTCTGTTATAGCCGGGGCCTTCATAATATAGCCAGTGCCATTGAATTCCAGATCCCCCTGCCTCCATCTCCTGAGTGTGAGGAATGCAGTTGTGCACTACTGTGCCAGTTTATGCAGTGCTGGGGATTGACCTCAGGGCCTCATGCATGCTAGGCAAGCAGTCTGACAACTGAGCCACATCCCCAGCCCTCTGTTAGATGTTGTTCAGATTGTTTATTGAACATGCTGTTTGGACTTAGGAGATGGTGGGGGTTGGTAAATGCTTGCCGTGTAAGCCCGAGGATCTGAGTTTGATCCCCAGCACCTTCATGGAAGCCTGGCAGGGCATTCCATGCTTATAATCGCAGCACTGGGGAAGCAGGGACAGGGAGGTCTCTGGGGCTCTCTGCTCAGCTGCTGTAGTCATGTTTTTAAGTCCCAGGTCTGGCATAAGACTCCATTTCAAAATAATATATGGAGAGCAGTAAGGGAAGGTGCTTTATCAACCTCTGGCCTCCATGCATGCACACGCACACAAGCCCACACACACTCGCACACCACATGCACACACGCACGCACGCACCGCGTATACACAATCATGTTAAAAAGACGCATTTACTAACATAAACCTTAAATATTTTAAATATTGCTATTTAGACGCAATAAGAGCATAAGACCCAGACCTATGCATATATGATTTTTATGTTGGTTCAGGTGTAGCCTGACTGAATTAGTAAAATTTTATCTTGGTAGGGAAAGTGATAGTGACATAGTGAACAACTAAGCAAAGATTAGTATATGGTGTTTCCAGTAATATGATTTAAAGGGAGAGACAAGGGGCTAGATACAGCCCAAGAAAAAGTTTGAGTAATATTCAATATGATCGTCAGTGTTCCAAATTGGTTTTTATGTCATGTTTTATTAAAACATGACATTCTGTCTGTAAAACTAACATAAATGGATACATATTATCTTTTCTATAAACCCTTGCTCTGCCCCAGTGTTAATCTCCATACATGTTCTCATACTGTAGATGTGCCTATACGATTGGATACTGAAACATGAGGCCAGAGGGCCTTGGCTAGTAATGTAAAATGGTTTCCAGCTGCTGTGTTTTCATTGACATTACCTGATTTATTAATGTTGTCTAGATTCAAGTATATTTTAAAATTGTGGTCACTCATAGTTACAAATGAGAAGTCACTATGGAGCTTACAAATTATGACTTTACCTGTTGTTTTCAGAATTATTGCTGTGTGTTAAGAAAAAAAAACTAGAAATAATCATACTTTTAAAACCCCAGTAATTTTTATGCCAAATAATGGTTCTTAAAAAGCTCAAAAACATCTATTTGGTTCATTAATTATGAAGTGGAATAACACTAAAATATTATCTTAGCAATATATATTTATTTTCAGTGCGGGGAATTGAACCTAGGTACTGTGTGTTAAGCCCTCTACCACCAAGCTATATTCATAGCTTAATTGTTTCTTAATTTTGTCTTCATTGGATTTAAGCTACTTGAGTAATTCTCAGACAGCACAAAAGTTTGAATACTGCTTTTCTCTGTAAAACTAACGTAAATGGATACACATTACATATTATCTTTCCTATAAACTCTACAGCAACACTTAAATATATTTTGATTTGACTTTTTAATCAATACATAAAAATTACACATGTAGCTACAACCCATGATGTTTCAATACATTTATACATTATGTAATGTTGAAATGGTGTTAGACATTTGCAATTTATGGTGAAAACATGCAAAACTCTTTATTCTAGTTTTCATAAAATATACAGAACAGTGTTAGATAAATTGACTTATAAAATTAGTTAGGTTCAAAAAAAATTAGTTAGGTTCTAGTGTTGTGTTGCATATCTGTCATCCCAGCACACTCAAGGCAGAAACAGAAAGATCTTGTATTTGAGGCTATCCTGGGCTACATAGCAATATCCTGTCACACACACATAAAACTAACTTGGCATTTAGTTTGGAGTGATAGCAAGATAGATGTTGTCCTGCATAATAAAATAACCCGCAGAATTTCCAATGCCCACTGCACTTGGGACTGTCTGGGAGATCTGGTTGTATCCTCTTCACCTTCACCATTCTCAGGCTGAGAAGCCTCAGGGCACACTGCCTATCAATCTGCAAGAAACATTCTATGAAGTCATTTTTATATTCATTTTTACATTCCGTCAAAGTGTGGCCTTGTTTTCTTAAGACAGAATTCAAACTCCTCAGCCTGTTTTTCAAGGTCTTCCTTAATCTACTCTACTCTTTCTGTTCAGTGGTGATCTCCTTCCAAGAGATTGGTGCCTTCAGTATTCTCCCAAAGTGTTAGGAACTGATCATTCCTCATTATGTTCTTATTAGACTTATAATGACTTAATTAATGTTTGGAGTTGTTTGTTTGTTTTAGGTGTTTTTGTTTTCTCACAGTGTTTCTCATACCTTAGGCTAGTCTCAAACTCGCTATATAGCTGAAGATGACCTTAACCACCTGATCTTCCTCAGTGCTAAGCCATTGTGTCCTAGTCCAAGCCAGTAGTTTTCTATGCCCAGGCTGTACAACATAACCGTCTGGGAAGACTTAACAAATACAGACACCTGGGTTCCTATAGTTACATCAAAATGATGATTTCTGAGCAAACCATACATGTGCCTTGCTAGTAGTGATTTACCAGATTACTTTTTTTTTTGACCTATAGATTTTATCTAAAATAGCCATGTTTTCAGAATTTTAATACAGTGATGGTATATTATGGGGCTAATCATTTTCTTGAAATCCTCAGGCTGAACCAAAAGATAATTCCCCATAACACTTTCAGTACAGTATTTTCATATCACATGAAACTATATACATGCTTCTTAAGGTTTCTATCTCTAATGCTTGGCACATATTTTACTCATGACTAAGGGACACATAGTTATTAAGTGGGAAAGACTAACCTACATTAGAAAGTTGACACTCAAAGTTGTTGTCTGTTTCACAATACGGTATTTGGGGCTGAAGAGATGACTCAGAGGATAATGTGTTTGCTGAGCAACCACGAGGACTTAAGTTTGGATTCTAGCACCCACCTAAAATTCAGACTGGGTCTGAGGTGGAGAGAGGCAGATTCCCAGGAACTGACTGGTCAGTCGGCCAGCTCAAACAGCCAGCTCTGCGCTAAGAGATGCTATTTCAAAAATAAGGTGGCGAGTGTAGAGGAAAAGACCAGAGCCAAGCAACCAACCTACCTCTGACCACATACAGAGGCATTACACACACACACACACACACACACACACACACACACACACGTGTGTTTTGTATTAGTATTTTTGGCATTGATGGGGATTGAACCTAGGTTTCATTCAACATGTAGGCAAGTACTCTGTTACTGAACTGAGCTACATTCCTTGCCCACTTTAATTTTTTGTTTCTTTGTTTTGTTTTCCGAGACAGGGTTTCTCTGTGTAGCCCTGGCTGTCCTGGAACTCACTCTGTAGACCAGGCTGGCCTTGAACTCAGAAATCCACCTGCCTCTGCCTCCCAAGTGCTGAGATTAAAGACTTGCACCACCACTGCCTGGCTCCCACTTTAATTTTTAATTGACATATAATGACTTGTATAGTTTTATGGGCTACAATGTAGTATTTCTATTATACGCATATGGGGGTTATGATCAGATCAAGTAGTTAAGCATATTCATGACCTCAAACTTTTATTGTTGTTTTGAGCCAGTCAAAATCTTCACATAGTCATTTTGAAATATGCGTTATTATTGGCTATAGTTAACTTGGTGTGTAAATAGAGCACCAGAACTCATTCCTCCTAAGAATTGACTTTCTATCCAGAGATGAATTCTCTCTAAGTGCTGTGTCACTCCCAATTATAATCCTAGTCTGTACTTCTGTGACTCTGGCTTTTCTTAGATTCCACAGATGAGTGAGATTGTATCATCCAAAGTTTGTC